TCACAACTAAGTTGGAAGAAGAGTTAAGGTCATGTATTCTTTCACCAAAACCTTACATGACCTTGAGTATGCAGAGAATGCAATATGACTTCATTGAACTCTATGAAGTACCCATCATGATGACAAACCACCACCTTTTGCAATAGCAAATAGATTACTAACAGGTTATTGCCCACATGTACTAAAACAGTTGAACAAAGTAGACTTGGCTCTTGTTTCAAAAGCAAGAGTTAATAAACACTTGGTTTCTTACAAATTCAGGGTTATCATACTCTGTTTGATAGTGATGTGTCACAGACAAACAGAATTATGAAGTAGTATTATATGCACTAGTAATTCTCATCAAAACAGGAGGGTACAGAAATGTATGAAGACCAAGTTGAATCTGATGACCAAATTGAATCTCAGAATACTCTTCCTGAAACTAACAGAACAAAGTAAATGGCTACAATTCAAGTGGTATTAGTTGTAAATTATACCAGTGATCAGAGAGCTCTCACTCTGAAACATAATGAAGTCAACATCAAAAATGTAGGCAGCAATGCAATGGCTGAAACAAAATAATATTCTCTACAAGGATGACAATGTTGATGATAATCAGATTAGTGTACCAATTCAATCACACCCTGATTGCAAAAAGTCAAATAATGCACTCAAGGATTATGAAGATGACAATTTATTGAAATACTTTGTACTTAATTTTCCTTTTGGAATTGAGAACAGAGATATCAATGACCTCTTGAGAAATGATACAAATTCTGTGCTCATCTAGCAGTGCAAGCTGCTCCCACCTTTCACAGGCCAGATTTTATTGCTGTACTAAACAATATTTTTGAATGGAAAAGAATGCTTACTTCAGCCACTAGTAAATAAGTACCCACAGATCAAAAACTTGATATTGCACAATTAAGATCAAGTCTTGGATTGGATTGTGCTCTTGATAGACTTGTACACAACCATCAACAATGAGGTAAATTGTCAGAAGAAAGCCCTGCTGATATGTTTGTCAGAAAGATCCAGGCAGTCACTTCAAGTATGGGTCATACTAGTGGTGCAAGTACAAAGAAAGCTAAGGGGAAAATGTTTTCAATACTACTATAAGCACATGGTCTTGTTCCAAGTGTCATGGTCACTTTTTCTCCTGAAGATCTTTATAACCATAGGAAATGGTGGAACATGGTATCAGCATCTAATGAGGTTGATCCACCTGTTCCAAAAATAACTGATGGTGATGCAATTTTGAATGAGTTTTGAAGTTTATTGTACAAACATACAACTTCTGCATCTTGGCCTCTGTGTAAGTAATTAAAATTACAATTCCAGATCTTCTGGGACAGAAGCCATCAGGAAAAACTGATGCATCAAAATCTTCATTTGGGCCATTGAATGCGTGGGCTTACTGTGTTGAAGAACAAGGACAAAAAACATTGCATGATGCTCATTTCCTGTTGTGGGTTACAAATTGGGATAATATTTGGGATGGGATGAGTAACCCATTGAGAGGTAAAAGATTTTCAAACATTGTTAGGCAATATGCAAAATGTATCATGTCAACAAAAATGCATGTAATTATTAATCCTCTATTTAAACAATTAAATGCACGAATTGCCAATCAACCATGATAGCACACAACAATTGCTGGTGGTACAGGAAAATCAAAAGTAATTCATTCTGTGCAACATTATTGTAAGATGTGTTGTGCAGAATTGGGAGTGAACATTTCCAACAGAACACTTCCTGTCACAGGTATGAGGAACAGCAGCAGCTAACATCAATCAGGAAACAACTCATCAAGCTTGCCCTCTAAATTGTAACTGATCTAAAATTACACAGGATGATGCATGGGAAAATGAGACTTATCTTCTCATTTTTGATGAGATATCATTTGCTAGCATCAAACAGTCAGAAACATTGAACAAGTATCTGAACTTGTTCTTATGTAATAAGTCATCATACTACAACATATGGTAATCTACCTGTTGTCTTCCCAGGTGACTTCAATCAACTCAAACAATTGGGAGGAGACTCACTCTTGATGAAAAAGGACTTCTATCTCTGGAGAGAAAAAACCAACACATTTCTTAAACATAAAACAAACCACAGTTTTAAAAATGATGTAATCTGCAGGAAGCTTGTTCTTGATGATTTAAGAACAACAAATGGCTTGAAAGAAGAGCATGATGTTCAAATGATCAATTCAAGAACAATTGTAAAACCTCAGGACAAACTCCCAGAAGATATTGCTTCTGCAACATACAGCAATGTAGACAAATGTTCAAGAAATGATGGCATACTTTCTGAGTTTCTCAAAACAACAAGTYCAAAGAATATATATTGCAGGTTTCCAGATCACACAATTGCAATCAAAGCATGGCTTGAAAGAAGAGCATGATGTTCAAATGATCAATTCAAGAACAATTGTAAAACCTTGGGACAAACTCCTAGAAGAAATTGCTTATGCAACATACAACAAAGCAGACAAATGTGCAATAAATGATGGCATATTTTCTTAGTTTCTCACAACAACACGTTCAAAGAATATATATTGCAGGTTCCCAGATCACACTATTGTAATCAAAGCTTCAAACCTAAATCTACAGATAGACAGAAAAAGAAAAAGCAGAGACATGGTAGTAGTTTTTCAGAAATATTGCTTACTGACTGCTGTGTCAGATGCTAATATTGTTGCAGGTGAAACAAAATCTTCCAAAAGGATTATAGATGCAAGAGATCTAAATCAAATGGAGCCATGTGTACATTCAAGTCAGCAAAACTAAAAAATGGATACCAGGATTGTGAACAGCAAGGTTGAATGGACAGAGCTAGTCCTTGAAGAAGGAAGCTCAGAACAAACGGAATCAAGCCCACTTCACAAAGCTATAGCTCAGGGTAAATTTTGATGCTGTCTTCAACAAGAGTCTAAAATTCCACATCAAAGTCTGCAAAGTCAAACAAGTCAGCACAAGGGAATATACATAAAAGATCTTTGGAAAATGTGATGATTTCAACTTGGTCTGCTCCTGCTTACACAAGGAGCAATTGGATTTAAGTTGTGCTTTCAAGAAGAGTTGTTAGAACTTCCAGTGGTCTGTTTGTGAGAACACCTCTTCTCTTCTTGTCTCAGATAACAACACTGCCAACAACATCCAACATAGACAAAAAATCAATGAATTCCACTCCTAGGTTAGAAACAACAAACAGCCACAGGTGTTTGTGTTAATTCACCTTTAAATTCTTTTTCATTTTCCCTCCTTTGCACTCATGTAGGTTTTGCACTGTAGTAAGTACTTGCATTAGCCAGTCAATCACTGCTGTTGGTGGTGGTTTTCAAACACGAGAATATGATCTTTGCTTGTGGTGATGATGACATTATGCATCTCAAGAAACTGTTGGAAAGGAGGGCATCAATGAAGAAAATACCAGCATTCTGCTTTGTCTAGTGGATGGTGTTCTGATGGTATAGTAGACTGCAGAGCTTCAGATAGTAAGAGGTGTTATTCATAGTACTACTAGCTGCTGATGTCACCATCCACCACCAGCACCACCAGCAGCAAGAAAAATCCATTTCTTGCCACAACCAACAACACCAGCACCATCAATGCTGCTGGATTGTGATCTGATTTCCATAAGGTTTGTACCATTGTGCAACTGATGCCAAAATCATGAGTTGATAAAAGGGGCCAGAAAATGAGTAACATTTGAAAAAATGTMAGCAGATCAGTCAACTTGGTACCTCCGCTTGAGGTACCACCAGTACAACGGCAAGAAGAAGTACGAGTACGAGTACCTTGATAATAATTTTTGTCAAGTCAAAAGATACAGATTCGTTCGAAAAACACCCATCATGATTCCTTATTCTTGTGGCATTGAAGCAAAATCATTACAACAATCAATACCACGAACCKAGAACGACATTCGTATTCCTATCCACACATGAGCAATCCTTAAGAACAAACTACCACGGAAATGACGAGCCGTGTACCGCATTCGCCACCGGTGTCATCCCCTATGGATGCCTTCATCATAGGCAGTGATCGCGACCCCTCATCATTACTGGCAGCCAAAAGAGGAGMAAAGGGACTTGCCCCGAAATTGAAAAACACGATCCATTTGTCAACACCAAACTCAGGAATAGTAGCAGGATTGTCTTCATCAGCGACGTCGGCTTTACCAATACCGCCCACGAGATCGACGAGACCATTCCGATCGATTGTTGATAACGGGACAAACTGGGTAACGAGAGAAATTGCCGCTTTGGAATTCTTACAGACGGGTATTCCAATGGCTAAGGAAGGTTCGATTGTCCACGAGGGATGGATCAGACAAAATAATGGYTCGCAGCACTACTCACACCATCATCATAGGCGTTTCATTGACCATTTCAGCGAGACTAACTTCGATAGCACTAATGACCTGAAAAAAAATGAACAAGACCAAAATGCAAGCAAAACTGACAGAAGAATAGAAGAGGAGGAGGATAGTATTCCCCGCATTTCACCTTCTCTGCTACCAGTAGGCAGCATYCAGAACATATCAAGGCCTCCAGATCTGGTTCGACAAGGACGATGGTGGGAGAAATGGATCGTTGGCCAGAATCTCAAAGAAAGTCAGMAGCAACAAGAGGACGTTGATGTGATCGAAGACCTGGAGGAACCTGATGTTCAACAACAATCATCGTCACAACCACAACTGAAYCAAAATCGACAACCGAAGATTTCTGCAACAGCAGCAGCTCCGATACATGCTCCCGGACGCAGGTTGGAGGGAGATTATGCCATCAAGGTACAGATCCCTCTTGCGAATGTTAGAAATAACAATAAATCCGAAGTAGGAGTGGTTGGAGGAGGAGGYTTTGGTCCAGATCACCAACATAATGTACGACAGAATAGTTACTTTGCTTCCCTGCAATCAACGAGTCATCAATCAATCGCTCGAAGTTCAATTTTGAGGGAATGGGAGCTTAGAGTTGCACATGGCTTAGAGGAACGCCATCTCCATGGCCAATACAACTCAAACCATTTCCAGCACCAGCAACGGCACAGTAACCCGGCAATGCTAGATGGTCGCATGTATATGAGCGCAAAAGAATCCTATCCAATGATGATGTTCAGTTTGCTACGATACGAACCAAAGAAGGAAGAAGCGGTTCGACGGCGGCAGAAACTTGAGGAGCGAGGAGGCGGTGGAACGCAATTCTTCATAATGCCATCACGGGATTGGAGAGGTATTAGTTACCGGGCACTCCTGCAACCTGTYCCTACCCACAAGGATGATGAATCATTGCCACCCGACGAAAGCAAGCACGCACAAGTTGTTACTTCTACGGCTACTACACCAACTAGGAGGAATAAAAACAACCAGAGGGTACTCTTCGATCGCTTTGCACCSAGAAGGAATGGATCRAAAGGATACGATGCTTCCGATCCAACTGCTGATTCCAAGGAGAGCGATGRCGAAACAASTCCYCAGGAATCCAATGAACTCAATGTTGATTCCGACGAGGAAGATGAAAGAATGGGTGATGATACGTATGTTGCGGGTTTGTTGGATGACCCTGAAATGGTACAGGGTCGACATCGAAATGTCATGATTGGTGACCGTGGAGTCGGCCCAATTGTTTCCTCAACGATACAATTTGTCAAGCCAAAACTGYTAAAGGCTGATCTAAACAAGCAGTTTAGGGAACGATTCGATGGATACGAGCCACCGGAATCACAGAGAAAATTCATAAAGGCAAAGGTCGTAGATGGAATTTACACTCTCATGGATCCGACCCAAGAGCTTGGTGGCGAAGAAGACGATTGCAGCAGCATGAAGGACGACGATAACGAYACTATAGAAACGAATACTGGAGGAACTTTGAATACGCCGACCACTAGAGCGACCAGTGTATCATCTCAATCGAAGAGTAACAACCAGCGGTTCCACCGGAGACGACTAGGTAGCACCTCCAGCGCGAGTCTGTCAACAGGAGGGGGGGTTGACGAAGCTGGAAGTGAAGGGGATAGAGAAACGATTCGAATGCCGCCTTCTTTGACGCTTTCGAAAATCCGTTCCCTCAAGCAGCAGGCACTTGCTGCGGCAGTCCGAGCCAAATTGGAAATCAGCACGGTTGCTTTGGCGATCATATATTTCGAAAGACTGTGCTTGGATTGTCGAGTCGATAAATCCAACCGTCGGTTGTCGTTTGCAGCATGTTTACTTCTAGCAATAAAGATCAACGAGGTAAGAAATTCCTCAGCTTGTGGGAAATAGCGTTTTCCAAAAGTTGTCTTTCTCAGAGACAAGCAACTCACAACTCACAACCTCAATTCCCATTCTCTCTTCAAAAGGCACACGTTGGCATTATCATTACGAAAGCCATCGAAGATTCCTCTACTTCCAAGAAGTCCAAGACCTCTCAACGGATCAAATCATTAATTCGACCAACCAAAAAGTCCTCCAATATGTTTGCTTCCCTTCTTGTGTTTTTTACCGAAGACTGGAACATTTCACTCAAGCACCTRTTTGCGGCAGAATGGGGTGTATTTGCCGCTCTTCAATTTCGTTTGACAGCTAAACCTTCTGATGTGGCCTTCCACTTCAAACGTTTGATGAAAACGCTGGGATCCGACCCCAGGCGTTATCTAGGTTCAAAAGTTTATAGATCCTGGCAACGAACCCTTGCCGAAGAAGARTTTCGACGCCAAGAATGGGAAGAACGTGTTGAAGCTCGACGGCAGCGCAAGGAAGAGAAGAAGTTGCAACAGCTCCAACGAGAGATAGAAGCTGCTGATCGACGAGGGAGCAGTAGCAGCCACGGGGGGTCGGTTGGGGAAAAACAGGACGAGAAAGACATAGAAGATGCTAGGGAAGTGTCTARCAAAACACTCGAAGAGCCAAAGGGATTGCCCCCACTAGGAACAACCAATACGGGTCGACGCCGAAGATATTTTGGAGAAATACTCAAAAGCCGTCTCGGTGGTGGCGGCATTACAGGGCCACCTAAACGATCTGTCAGTACGGAACGCAGACGACAAGGCAATGGAGAGTCAATGATGGCAACGCCATCGGCGATCTCTAAACCCAGCTCTGCTGCCACTGGTGGACCCGCGAAACAACGACTTCGTCCGCTCTCCCAATCAAAATCAATGTTGTCATTAAGTGCCAGGGGGCGAGAAATGATAGGGAAAAATTTTGTTATAGATGAGGTCCCAAAATCACAAGTTGTACTTCGAATGATGAAAGAAGAAAACAYCGACACAAAAATTGAACTGAACACATCGGTGGAAGACCCAGGGGGCGGCAAGAACGGGATATTGATAGATGGCGAAGGAGGAATCATAATTTGATCTACAAAAGATGAGAAAGGTAGCTAGCATGTTATCGTTTTTTCATTTTTCTACATCTTCGTGTCATACTATTTCTTGCACAACTTGTAGAATAGCTCTTTGACCTTCCAGAACTCCAATTTTTTTGATAGCATAGTTTTTTTTGTTTTTAAAATAGCTCTAATTTACATTCTATGTCTTCAATAGTTGCTCTGAAAGACAGCGATGCATTTAGATGTCTCCAACTTCAAGCAACCGCAAAACAATCCAAGATGCTGATCTCAACTTTGTTATGCCAATGCCCGGATATCGTTYATGAATTTATGGGCCGATGTTACTGCAACTTTTTTCGCTATGTACATCGGAACCATAGGCGATCTCATATGATTCACGTTGATCATTAGACACCTTTCAATCCCCCCACTTTTAGATTCATGGGCATTGTCGTCAAAATCCACGAATAAATTAACTCCCATAACAATCTCAGTCTTCATGCTCGAGGCAACCGTTTCGTCTTCCGGACGATGAACAGAACGATTGACAATGAGATAGCCCGACCCGTTTGGAATTTTCTTGGCATGTAATACCGACGTCAGAGACAAAGGGGACATCATGGGTGGCTTGCTTTCGGACTTCATGACTTTGGTAATTGATTTGCCAAACGGTCCTTCTTCATCAAAGTTTCCGTCGAAGGTAATGATATCKGTTCGCCCCAGACTGATCTTATTATATTCTTTYACCCGAGACGAGTCAACCAGCAATTCAACCATTTTTTTCGCCGATGAATTGACAATTCCAGCAGACCGTATAGCAGGAATTTCGCTCCCGAAAAGTCCGTGTTTGTATGAACCCTGCCATACTAACACGTCTTTCGCAGAGATGTCAGAAAAAGATGATGCTTTAACCAAACCCTCGTGGAAAGTGTGTTTCATCCATTCACTACCACCCGAAGCCTTCTTGATGAGTTTATCGGTCTTGCTATCCGGTACCCACATRRATTCGTCAAGRGCTGTAGTCATCCCATAATTTGCCAAGCTCTCTACCGCCTTCGGAGCGATCGGAGTATGCTCAGAATTGCTGCCATTGTTGGAAACGTCGTTTGCGGTCTCGCCCGCTGTTGTACACAAGGCGATCCACCGTTCTTTAGGGTCGATTTCGATTCCTGGTGGAGGGTTCACAACTGGACGATGGGTATGCTCWTGCATCTCGTTGATGTAAGAAATTTCGGATGCAACTGATGTCGCTGCTACGCTTTCGTCGTCCATTGCCAAATCAGAGACGCGCAAAAACGAACAACATCGGCCGATGATTCGCGATTTGGTAGAAGGTGCCATGCTCGTTGTGCTTACGGGTTGTGCCTGGTCGAAATCAAGTCTAGTTCCAGAGATTTCAGCGTCTCGCGTGGGAGCCGAAGACGGAAAGAAGCTGCTGAAACCATATGCCGAACGTGCTTTTGGACTGGGAACGAAGGAAACTACTTTCCCATCTCGACCCAGCGAACCAGTTCCAAGTGATGACATCAGCGAGCTAGTTCGWATTCTCAAGGAACTTGCGCCRGAAGAAGCAGAGCGCGATGATGATCGGCGCTTAGATGTCGACGCCGTAGGAAGGCCACTGCTCCTCTCATTCCCGCCCAYGCTCGGTTTCTTCTTCAATTTACTGCTCTCAAATAKAAGTACACCATTTTTGTTTGTATTGTAAGATGGCGATATTTTCGGTCGGAACGAAAATCCCATCGTGCGAAGTTTTTGCAAATGAATTGTTATGAGAAAGAGAAGGTAGAAAGTAGTGAATTAAGAAGGAGGTTTGGTGAGAAATACATCGTGTTTATTCCATTCGTTTGGACCAAGTTGTTCGCGYATCACTCTTGTTTTCGAGGTTAAGGAATTTGGGGAATTTCTACGCTAGCCGTGCCGTAGAGTATCTATCATTGATGCATAATTTTTTGGATCGGTAAAAATTCGATCCCGCGAATGAAGTTTTAGGCGTTTTTGTACGATACCCGCAAACCATGATATTTACGTTGCATCTACAGAAAAACAAAAACTTTCTCGTCTCCTCCTATCCAAGGYATTCGCTCTCAAATCCTCTCTCTTCGAAACCATACCCAACGAGGGATATCGCGCACGTTCAATGCCCAACGGATAGTGACGCTACAACAACAACGCAAAGAAGAGAAATAGGATGGAGGGTTCAAAGAAACGTACAACAACTTCATTTTCTTCTCTATCCACCTGTAGCAAAGCGTTTGCCATCAGAGGCGAAATTGTGGTGATCGGAGGTATCCSTACACGATGGCGTGAGGATGTGCAATAAAAAGATGCAGTTGTTTGGGTGGAGTAGTACCAGTACTCGTACTCGTATGAGCGCGAGTAAGGTACGTACCGTACGCTACTCGTATGCACTGTAATTGCACGAGTACGACTACGCTACTACGCTATTAGCCATCGTGATACCAGTACAACATAGTAGTAGTTTTTACGCCAACAAAAACAATTATCTTCTATTCTGCTTCCTGCATCAATTTTTGTTGCACTGGTAGCGTTTCTTCATCTCTTTAATTGGGAATTTGTACWGTACGATTACAGACAGTTCAACACGTGGGACTTTAATTCCGTTCCGCCGCAATWATGATATTTTTATTATTTTTCGTTCTTCCTATTTACCTATGCCCCAACCCAACTGACTCGCGATCTGGAACATGAAGTTTTGTACGAGTTACTTTTCCGTACCGTACCGTATGGTTCGAATCGTAGGAGGGTCCGAAGTATTTTTTCGTTCTCGGGAACTTTTTTCAATTAGTGSTTCATTCTTTAATCTTACGTTGTTTTCASCTTCGGCGAAGTGTCCACRTCAAACTAGTACGTACTCCTCGTACSTGTACYACTAGTAGTACTAGTTGTGAGCCCTAAAACACAGTAAAACGCAAGCAATCACGAGTAGATAGTGAGTGAGGGCAAATAACGCTCAACCACTCACTCTTTATTGTAAACAGGTAGTTATGACACTAAAGAGCATACGTAGATTTCACAGGTTATGAGCAACAAAGAACATACCTCAACCTCATCAACCACACACTAGTAATAGTAACACCATCATCCAAATGGACAACACAAACTACTAACGCACCAACTTGAATGGGCGCCACCATACCCACAACAAGAGACCGACATCGGACCCTCGCAACCCAAGAAAAAGGGAATTTTCTTCCATCACTGGGCCCTACAAGAACAAACATGTAGCAATCCTATGATGCGACAACGAGTGACACATAAGATGTCACCACAGTATACTCACTCGAAGTGATATCATACTCACTCAAAGTGATACCATGATACTCACTCGAAGCAACCACCACACTCACTCAAATTGTCAACACCAATGGCAATCCAACAGCAATCATACAAACACAGAAGTGAATACTAAAAACAATTCACTCCAAAACCTGCCGACAACAGGCAGTTACCACAACAAAAACACATAAATTGAGTTCGAAAACAGCACAGCCCACTGAACATGCGGAAACCCCATCAAAAGAGGACTACTCCCACTAGTGGTCACCGCACATCAGGCAGAACTACTGGCAGAAACCCCAGGAACCCTCACACATCACCAATGGGGAGATACCTTGTCACCAGAACGCCTACAAGAACAACAAACTCCCATCACACCAGACTCAACCTCCGTGAATACCACGGCAACATTCAACGTGAACTCCGAGCTATAGGATTGGTATTTCCTAAGGAATCCAACACTACCATTTACAACACGGACTTGTTCCCATTTAAACCACAAACACCCCCATCACCAACAACATACTCTGCACACTTGAGTGTAATCCACACCACCACACTCAAAGACAGAGACAAAATTACAGCACTGGGTGAAAATCTAACCCAACTCATCCACAGAAACCACTTCTCCATCCCCCCTCCAACAGATACACCATCTCGTTCACTACTTTGTTATCAATACAGTGAAGAATTTATTAACTACATGGACACCAAGCTTCCCCTGGACCAATCCACCCCACTGGAATCCATCACTGAACACCGTATCTCACGACCACCTCCACACCTTCGTGCGACAAGCACTACACCATCACGGACAGAGGACACCACCGCAACACATCACAACAACAATGACAACAAGGACGACAATTCCCTCGACTCCATAGATCTGGCACTGGCAGACCTACAACAAAGATTTGCCAATGAACACAGTACAGCCATGGACATTACAAAGAAAATTAAGCATGAGAATTCACTTGTGAACATGACCAACATGGTGCAGCTTGTTGCCCAAGTCAACAAGCTATATAATGTTGAATTGAATGAAGAAACAGTACAGCGGAGTGTAAATGTAGGCCTTGAGAATATTCCCCATTGGTGGAGTTGCAGGCTGCCCTCCACTTTCTTACCAGTGGTGGTTGAGCCCGTGGTGTTAGTACTATTAGTAGATGTGCTTGCTTCATATGTTGCTGTTGGCAGCTCTGAGATGGAAGAGCAGCCCAACCAAAACATGCGACAGAATGATTTCCTGTTGCTGGTTTTTGGGCACCACACAAAACACACAAATCAGTAATGAAAGAATTACACAAGCCTGTCCCAGAAATCCTCAACAACAATGGTGGTGGTGAGGAGTTGTTTGAGCATGTTGTTGTTGACTGGTGTTTCAAAGCCTCACCAGTTCATCCATCTGGTTGCGGTCAAAAAACAAACATATGCCAGTTCTGCCAGGAAGGCTCTGCACTCCCTACTTACTGATGTCACATTGGTCACAGAGGGCAACCCTTCATTCCCCAACAAGGACACATTTTGCAGTAAAATTGTGATGAAAAAAAACCTGGGCTGACTTCTGGGCCCTCGGAAATTTGGACCACACGTGGAATTTTCGATTCGTTGCGCTCCCTCCTAATACTGTATGACCCCTCCGTACGAGTACGTACAATCACTTTACGCTCCGGAACATTATGGTGGACACAAAAAGTCATTCTGCCTTTCTGTGTTTTTGGCAAGACTTACCGTACCGTAGTAGCGTATTTTTCAGGCCGTTACAGTACGAGTACCAACCGAACCGTACTTGCATCTTTTGGACTGTCAAGTATGAAGGTGTACCACTGTACCGTTTTATGTACTTGTTCTTCAATGCTTCTTAGTANGTTATGAGCAACAAAGAACATACCTCAACCTCATCAACCACACACTAGTAATAGTAACACCATCATCCAAATGGACAACACAAACTACTAACGCAACTGGAATGGGCGCCACCATAGTACCCACAACAAGAGACCGACATCGGACCCTTGCAACCCAAGAAAAAGGGAATTTTCTTCCATCACTGGGCCCTACAAACACGTAGCAATCCTACGATGCGGCAACAAGTGACACATAAGATGTCACCACAGTATACTCACTCGAAGGAGTGATATCATACTCACTCAAAGTGATACCATGACACTCACTCGAAGATACCATGATACTCACTCGAAGCAACCACCACACTCACTCAAATTGTCAACACCAATGGCAATCCAACAGCAATCATACACACACAGAAGTGAATACTAAAAACAATTCACTCCAAAACCTGCCAAAAACAGGCAGTTACTACCACAACAAAAACACATAAATTGAGTTCGAAAACAGCACAGCCCAACACCACCATTGTTCACTGAACATGCCAAAACCCCATCAAAAGAGGACTACTCCCACCAGTGGTCACCGCACATCAGGCAGAACTACTAGCAGAAACCCCAGGAACCCTCACACATCACCAATGGGGAGATACCTTGTCACCAGAACGCCTACAAGAACAACAAACTCCCACCACACCAGACTCAACCTCCGTGAATACCACGGCAACATTCAATGTGAACTCCGAGCTATAGAATTGGTATTTCCTAAGGAATCCAACACTACCATCTACAAAAAAAAACCTGGGCTGACTTCTGGGCCCTCGGAAATTTGGACCACACGTGGAATTTTCGATTCGTTGCGCTCCCTCCTATCACTGTATGACCCCTCCGTACGAGTACGTACTCGTACGTACAATCACTTTACGCTCCGGAACATTATGGTGGACACAAAAAGTCATTATGCCTTTCAGTGTTTCTGGCAAGACTTACCGTACCGTAGAACCGTATTTTTCAGTCCGTTACAGTACGATTACCAACCGAACCGTACTTGCATCTTTTGGACTGTCAAGTATGAAGGTGTACCACTGTACCGTTTTATGTACTTGTTCTTCAATGCTTCTTAGTAGAAGTAGTAACTCGTACCTTTCTTATTCCATGACATGAATTGTTGAGAACGTCGTCTCTTTTAAAATCTACTGTATCTCAGAAAGCAAAAATTTGGATCAGAAAACAGTGATCAATGTCGGTTTGATGACATACCTCGCGAATAACTCGAACCACATACTGCCGTCGAAGGGAYAATCTTGTTGTTCTCACACTAAGCGTTTCTAGGGACTTGATTTTTAGATTTGATTGCAGCCGTCTGTATCAAATAATAGATTGTCATCGGCAGCAGGAAATTGGTTCACGCACCWGTGGTAACGCTGACTTTTAAGGGAATTTGGGGAACGAAKAGTCATCAATCGACCAATCAAGGATCCAGCGAATTAAGCATAAAAAGTGCATAAATATACACCATGGCAAACAGCATTTACGATGATCAAATAGAAGAAGAAATTCCTGGGACGTTTTATATATTTTCTCTCATCAATTCGGAAGAGTACAAAGAAACGAACCCAGTACTATCTGAWCCGGACGAATACGATATACCGGAAAGCTCTTTGCGAGGAAAACCATCTAGCGGTGGTCTATGCGCTTATGCATTGCTCAATGTCCTGAAAGAGAACGGCAATGGAGCGTCGTCGACTATATCCTGGGGTGRTGCGCTCGATGTCATGCAAGAAGAAATTCAAAATGAGAGAGGCTATAAAACGTACGTGCCGATGCTTTCCACGAGCCGACCAATCGCTGTGAGAGACCAGCCAATGCAGATTGCTTCATCCTCGAGGCGAGGCGTGAAGCGCGCCCTGCTGATAGGGATCCATTACATTGCGCACTACGACGAAGACGCGATGCTCTCCTCGTGCCAAGATGATGTACGGAAAATSCGGGAGTATTTGATCCATGAAGCAGGGTTTCAAAAAAACAACGTTCTAGTTGTGATGGATGATGGAGGACGGCAYCACGAACCGTCGAAACAATTCATCTTGGACTGTTTGAAAAGACTGTGCGCAATTAGCAAGCCCGGAGATACAATTTTTGTTCATTTTTCTGGTGAGTACGATCTCGGTGGACCTGCCTGTTTGCTGCACAGGAAATCAATTCGTCGTCTAGGCAGTAGCATCGTTCTGATAACATCTATTTCTCTGTCTTCCCTACCTCCGAACACCTTTCAAAATGGATTAGGCCACGGAGGACGAGTATTAAATGACGAGGAGTACGCGGAGGACGAGAATACGATTCCACACGAATTACTAGCTCCTAGCGATTACCATCAACAGGGGGTAATTGAAGACGACGAAYTCTATGCTTCATTTATAAGACTAGTCCCCTCTGGAGTTCACGTCATGGCGGTCATCGATACGTGTCACCCTTCCCCGTCCAGTTGTGCTCTGGAATTACCCTATGTCTGCATTGCTGGAGAAGACGAGGTCCACGATGCGGGAGGATTCCGATCTGGTCGTGCGATAATTGCGTCGGCTGTTGCCGCCGCTAAAGCTGCTGTTTTGGCCGCCAAAATAGAAAAGGAAAGGCAAGAACGGGAAAGACAAGAACAGGAAAGACGAGAACAGGAACGACAAGAGAAGGAAAGGCAAGAAAAGGAACGGGAAGCAAAGGAACGGGAAGAAAGGGAACGGGAAGAAATGGAAAAGAAACAGCTTGACAAAAAGAAAAACACGAAAAAGGAGGAAAAATCTGATAAAAAGAAGAAGAAGAAGAAGAAAGAGGACGATGACGATGACGGATCCTCTGGATCTGAAAAACTCAAATCCGACAAAAGAAGAAGAAGAAGAAGAAAGAGGACGATGACGATGACGGATCCTCTGGATCTGAAAAACTCAAATCCGACAAAAAGTCTAAAAAGAAGAAAAATAAAAAAAGTAAGGATGAATCAGATGACGATGGCGATGATGAAGAGGAAGCGAAGAAGGATAAGAAGAAGAAAAAGAAGAAGAAAAAATAATAATTCAGATATTCAATATTGCTTTTTGTCTATGAATTCAAGCAGAATTGGAGGTGAATATTTCTTCCAGCTGTTGTTTCTGATCTGAAGAAACACTACATGTCAGRTCGCCTTGATTGTTTGTGTGTCGTAGTTACATTTATGCCATTCATGACAACCTTTTAGCTAGACTTAGCTAGACTGATACTGTTGACAATTTGCAAGAAATACTACATGCATTTGAATAAAAATATTTTGGATTTTGCTACTTATTKATGCTGTTCACTCATGCAAGTAGTATTCCCTGTCTTCATCTAAAACTAGAAATGTTTTACCTCTGTTTTTATTCTTCTTGGATGGCCTTCTACAACAAGCAGAGAAACAAGCCAAAATTGCAACTCCTGATGACAATAATTATGAAATAACTTACTACAGCAGTACTAAACTGCTGAAGTTACTTCCTCCACCCCATAATAGTAGGTGTCAGAGTTGCACCAAATTTTTTCATATCAAGTTAGTAGTATACAAAGTACTTTGAACTTTTAGTAAAATATGCAATATTCTTCTTATTCAATGTCATCTTAGTTCATTCTACTACTAGTTCTAGTAGTAGTAGTATAAAGTGACCAAGAAGTAGTAGAAAATTCAAAATACTACCGAATGGCAACCACCTCTCTTACACCAGAAGAATGACCTACTAATATCAGAAAGAGTTCTTTGTGCTAGTACTACTAACAAGACTTGCTAGTGCTGCAGCCCTGCCTGTTATTATTGCTGCTTATTCACTCCTCTTAGCTACTACAAGAATTAGTAGCTACTATCATAGCAGTAGTAGCAAACATACTAGTAGTAGTTCTAGTACTAGTAGTACTACTACTACCAGCAGTACTAATACTACTACTAGTTTTTCTTCTTAAAAAATGATTACACTACTAGTACTACTATAACAATAACTAGTAATATTACTAGTAGTAGAATGCAAAATATAAAATTCACATTCATACTACTATGATGTCAAAAAGGCTGTGTTTGAGGGGCTTCTACTAGTTGTAAGTCACACAAACCGGATCTACGGTATTGCGCGTTTCACGCGGTTGACACCATCGAAGTTTCAGGGTCATCCCTTAGTCTTTTGTGATTGGATATTAGTTTAGAAAATTCCCTCTCAACTTCATATGTTCAGAACATGTTTCCGAAAACAAGCATAATTTTACTTCCAAAGCATGAGAAAACTCATCCTCTGCTTGGAACTTAGCTTTGTTCTTTATCATGCCCCCCCC